CCGGAAATAATCACGCCGTAAGACTCAGCCATTTTTTTAGTAGATAAGCAATGAATCCGTAGCGTGAGCGAAAAGCTATCTGTATGTCTACGGTTTCCCACTGTTTTCTGTTTTTTTCTTTCGTGACTTTCACTTTCAATCAGCGCTCTCATACACAGCGTTGCCGGTTACCGCGGTTGATGTTGCAACCTTCGTACCGTATATGACCTAACATAACAAACCCCCTCGACCGATTTTCAAAGCTCGATTACTCCACGACGAAGGGGATGCATAAACGAAATGATACATTTTCGAACAGCTTTCGACGAGACGGTTTCAACGCCGCCGTTTTCGGCGCTGTGACTGTTCCTGCAGTTCGGAAACCGAGCTTCGAAATCGGTCAAGGGGGTGTGTTATCTTGTGTCATATACGGTATACAAGTAGTACTACTGGAAACCCAAATCGGACACTTTTGGGACACGGCATTCAAATGCCTATCTACCGCACCGCAGTCACGCTAAGCTCCACTACCCTTGGTCTATCATGCTTGGCTGAGGTGGTCCACTGTGTGATACCGTAGACGACACAAGATAACAAACCCCGGTGATGACATTTTGGGCTTAAAAAAATTATCATCACCGGGTGTTACATCCTGTTGAGAGGGGGGGGCGGGGGGGGCGGGGGGGGCGTACTCTTATGTTTTGCGTGCCTTAGCGGTTAGACCATTGACCACGCGTCCTCGAGAGGACGGAGCAATGTTCTCACAGGACCGATCACCGATAGCCAATCGTTCCTTTCTACTTCGCCAAAGGTGGCTCGAAAATGTCTTCCCTAGTCTGTCTATCCTAACGATATCCCTGCCCGCCTTTTCGACCCACCTCCTATGCCCCAGTACAGCTACCGTCCTTTCCTCTCTATTCCATGCCTCAAACATCTCCCTGTACGTTCCATCTATTTTTCCCAGCTCAGTCACGTACACTTCCCTCTCCTTCTTGTACAACGGACATTCCGCGACTACATGAACACGGTCTTCGCATTCGAAGCCGCAATCACATTTGAACTCGTCGTCTTCCTCGTCTACCGTCCTATGTCTTCGTCGACGTTCTCGAAGGCCTATGTCCCCGGTCCTGAATTTGACCTTAAGCTTTGTTCCTGCATCCATTGGTCCATGTAGGTAGTCCTTGAACCCTATTCCTTCCTTCAACATTCCGTACACTTCTAGACCCTCCTTATCCTTGGATTCTTTCCTCAGATTCTGTTCTTCTCTCTCGGCACAAGCAACAGATATCTTCTCCTTGAACCCCTGTAGACCCTCCGTTTCCAGCGTTTCATCTTCGTCGATGTCGAGCCCCTTCCATACGTCCTCTACAACCTTGACCCATTCCGCGGGTTGTCTACCCCTCTTTGTCGTTTGCCCACTTCGCCTCCCATACAATCCTCGGCAACCTCTCCTCTCCCATCCCGCACATGCGATACTGCCATGTCAGCTTCCTCGCGTCTCTTCCCGACCGTAGGGATTGGATCCCCAATTCTGCCCTGACGGCTGCATTACTTGTGCGCTTGGAGCACCCAAGGATGATTTTCGCTGCTTTCATTTGCGCCGCCTCGAGTTCTTTCACTACCTGTTGGGGGGGTGGTATCTTTTGTAGTCCGGGTGATAAATTGCAGCTCCCAGGGGCCCCGCAGGGGGTGTGGTAGCACGTCCGAACACCCACCGGGTTTGGTTGGAGGGGTGATAACGACGGTGTGTGATGGAAAGGAGGGGTGATAAACGCTGCTTGTACAGTTGAAACGCTGCTGACGGACACTGGAAAGTGTGTGGCTGCTGCTGCTGGTGAGGCGATGCGGTGGCTGTCACGTTGGCGCTTGTCGCTGTGCCAGCTGCTGCTGCTGTTAGATCAGCAGCAGCAGAAGGACGAGCCCTAGCAGGACCCGCTTGCGTCGAACAAGTGTGCTCTCGTTTGAAAGAACGAGGTGATCAGTGACGCTTGTACTGCTGCGGTCGAAGCAGTTGTGGAAGAAGCGGACGTACTTTCGGCGGCATTGTGCTCTCCCTGCGCTTTCATGTTGTTGGATGTCTCCATGCGGGGTATTCCCCGCACGCAGATGTTGTGTATGTGTGTGCGATGCTCACGGGGCAGATGCTGTATGACCCAGGTGATAGAAGGAGGGCCCCGTGAATATATGCGGCGTAACCTGTGTTATCTAATGTAGCCCGGGTGATAAACCGATGATTTGTCAGAACGCCCAAAATCATCACCGGGGTATCGTATTCTGGGGGGGGGGGGGTACTCATCGTCGTGCATGCCGTAGTCGTTAGACCATTGACCTCGCATCCCTACAAAGCCGGGACGGAGCACGCCGGGGTCTCACCGGACCAGGCTCTCACATCACCAAGCGCGAAGAGCCGTGAGATATTCGGCGAGTCGCATGAAGGGTGCGCTGCATCCTGCTAAGGGTTTTCGGCATCTTGTGCTTACTTCCTTGCGTACGGATGACAGCTGCGTTTGACTTAATTTATTTTCTGATGCTTTCACTTCCAGAGACAGTTGTAGGCACTGTGTAAGTGCCTCGAGGGTGCTTGACCATTTTAACACAACGTGGTGCGATCATCCCCCTTGCGCGGAGTGAGGGTTCTCCACCCCGCACAACATGATCTACTCGACCACCATTGTGGTTACCGCCAAAAAAAAAACAGAGGTAAAACAAAAACGGTATCCTGGTTGCCGAGTTCACGAAGTGAATTGGCTAGTTTTTCAAGGTCATTGCCAAGCGACGGAAACCCAACCCCGTTGGCAAACACCGGGGGGGGCGTATTCTGTGGGGGGGTATTTTCTTATGTAGGTGTGTCATGTTGTGTCGGCTACGGTATGCTGTGAGGTGCCTCTCCTGAGCCTCTGACTTTCTGTACACATTCCCAACCCGCGTGCCCCCTAGATCGTAAAACTGAACATCGCCTGGTACTGGAAAAACTTGCTGACTTGGCTTCAGTATCAAAAGTTTCCCCACGTGTTTTGGGGACACTCTTAATACTGAAGCCAAGTCACCCTTTGTCTGGCAAGGAGCTCAAATTCTTTGGAGGGAATGTAGCCCCTCGACCAATGGCTGACAAAACATTTTTTCGACTTTTTTTTTGTGCAGAGGGACTGGGTACTGAAAGGGTCAACAGAAACACAGCGGTTTTCTTGGCGGGTGTAGGAGCTCCATCCGTGGTCACCAGAAGGGTCCCCCTCCCTGAGGCCCCCCAGCCACCCCTCCTGCGGTGCGCCTGCCTTCCGCTTTTAAAGTGAGAAGAATGCAGCACTCGCTATTCCTCAAAGTTGTTGTTGTTGTTGTTGTTGTTGTTGTCTTCACTTCAAAAAATATCATCGTTCCGGTCCGCCCAGTACCTTCGTATGTTGTCTGTACAAAGTGTACGCACTAGCCATCATGCACACAAGTGAAGAGTCTTGTCTAAGTAGCGCGGCTTTTTGACTGGAGCTCAAGTCGCCACCGGTTTGGAGCTTACCGAAATCCCATCGTGCTCACACGTGAACGGTCACCACCTCGGGACAAACCAACCCGGGCCACGCACACACTTCGACTTTGTGTTCTACTGCCCGTGTGGTCCCTCTGCGCATTTCGTTGTTTGCGCGCCGCCCATCTGCTGTGCCTGCCATGTGTAGAGTTGGTGCTACGCACACGGTTTGGAGTAGTGGCTACGCGTCAAGTGCGGGAAGGGTCCTGGATCCGGTGTGCTACCCTAGGAAGGTAGTGGGCGTCGCGCATTCTTCTTCTGAAAGGGCAAGCGTGGAATCGCGCCAAGAGCCTCTCTTTTTGTTGGGTCGCCTTCGCGGGAAATTCAATATCATTGGGAACTAGAATTGGGAAGTGGTACGCAGACCCTCTTCCCTAACCTTAACCCTAACCCTAACCCTAACCCTAACCCTGATCCAACTCCCCCGATTGTATGCTTTGTCCAACATGTTTCCATAATACGAAAACCCTGCGAAGGCTATTGCTTTTTTTCACCCACGAACGTGGCACATCAACTAGCAGCATCGCGATGGATGCATACCCGGTTCCGTTTGTTATGCCAAAAAAAAGTGCTCCAATTAGACTCCACAATGGCAAACGCCTCCGCCGTCAAAAAGACGCGTTGTTGTGGTCGCACGCCTGCAGATGTACCGCACACAGACACGCGTTGCGTTCTTACAGCAAGTTTCGCCAGCTTTCTTTTTTTCGGGCCACTTTCAACATGCGTCATGCATCGGTTCGTTTGCTGTGGAGTTACACGCCTATCCGATCATTTTTCGATATGTTTATGCTCCAAGGTGTTCCTTGCTCGTCAGCGGGAGACGGGGAGGGAGTTCGCGATGAAAGCCATCAGTCGCGCTCGTGTGCAGGTGCGTTGTGGCACTACGGTTGTTGCCCTGCTTGTTGTCTTGGCCGGCTATCGTTTGTGAGGGCGTTCCCGAGGTTCTCTTATTGCCCATTGGTTGCTCAGTACCACCTTTGCATTAGTCTTCCTATCGTCCTTGTTGGTATGAGTTGTTGATGTAGGCGGGTGGCGGCAAGTGCTGTCGTCTGCGTGACCGTCTCGACTTCCGACATTTTCCTTAAAGACTGGCTTCGCAAAATTATTACGTTGATGAGGAAATTAAACGGGGAGGGGGGGCGCAGACCCTATCCCATAACCCAACTTCCCCGATTGCATGCTTTACCCAACATGTTTCTTAATTGAAAATCCCTGAGAAGGATGCTGCTCCGCAACGCGTACCGCCGCACTATCCCTGGTCTGAAATGAAAGATACTTCTGGATCCTTGTGTTACAAGCCGCGTTGTTTGTTCCCTGGGTAACCAGTATTCCTCCGAAGACCGTAGTCATCTGTGTCCATGCACTTGCTTGACGCGTTTCTTGTACCCCGTCTGGCAGTCCTCGCCATCAAGCATCAGGCCGTCTTGCGCACACAGTGGCCAAAATTCCAAAGTGATGTTCCCGCTGTATGTTGAATCGAAGGTCGCTCCTCTGATTGGTTGAGAGATTCGAAGGGAAGAGACCGCCTGTTGTTGTCCCCGTCGTCGTCTCTCGTCGCGCGTGAGGATAGGGAAAACTCCAAGAGAACCTGGAGTCGGAGATCTCGATCCTCAAGAGCTTCCGGCACGGCAACATCGTCGAGCTCTACGACATCAAGGTGGGAGGTGTTGACTGCTCAAGATTTTCTTTCTTGGATCGAGGGTGCCCTCTATCTTCCGTGCTGCTTTGCTGTTTCTGCTGATGCTCATGAAGGAACCTTGGGTATCCGCGAAAACCAGGCAGGTTACCGGTGGTAGTCGCCGAATTGAGTCGCGCGTCTACCGGCGCGACGGAAAGTTGGGCCTTTGTTTCGTGCATGGCGTTGACATGTGTTGGAAGATGCTCGTCGACCCTTGTGCTTGTGATGCACGCACGCATCCCTAGCGTAGTTCGGAGCCCAGCGGCTTAACGAGTCGCAGGGGAACGCGAGAAAATTTTGATAGCATGTGCTGCTTGTCGACCGGCTCGGTATTTGGCAATAGTGTGAGGGATCGTTTGTCGCACCACGTTGTCATTGCTATTGCCATTCCCGCATGCATTGTCCATTGTCCAGGGTGTGAAAAACGTTCAATATTTTGTTTCCGACAATCGATGTTTCGACAGAAGCGCAAATAGGCAATTTCTTCACACATGTACTTACCATAATCGCATGCTGGTAATATTGGAACATCATCCGTTGTTGGATAGGGTACCACCCAGGGTGGAGCTGTTTACCACGTGCGTTTCGTATGCCACCGTACTCATGCACCTTGTGCTCTCTGTTGGTGACCTATTAATATGTGTTTGTGTTTGTTTTTCCCTCGATGTCTCAGAAAACGGAGCGGCACATCTACCTCGTTTTAGAGTACTGCGCGGGGGGCGACCTCAGGGCGCTGATACGGAAGGAAGGGAAGCTGGCGGAGACGTCTGCGAGGCACTTCATGCGCCACCTAGGTACGGCAAAAATCGCCTTTTTTGCGTGCTCCGCCGCCTCTGCTGCATGTCCATTGAGCCTGGGGGGGTGGGGGGATGGGGGCTTTCGCTTGTGTCGTTTGGTCGCGTCGTGCCCGCAAGGGCGAGGCAGACGTTTTGTCGCCTTGTTTCCTGGAGGTCTCGGAAGATGCAGCACCGCCGTGCGAGAGGGCCGAGGTCCGAGGCATACAAGGCCGCACGCCTGTTTGTGTTGTGTGTTGCCCGCGTTTTTGGAGGGATACTTGTGTGCGGTGTGCGGTGTGTTGCTGTGCCGTATGTCGCCATGTCCAGGGAAACAGGACCGTAGGTCCGCCCTCGCCCGGTGTTTCCGCTGGCGACAACGAATGCATCTCTGGTGGTCCGTGCGTTTATGGTTCGCCGAAACACACGAAGAGTTTGAACGGGAGTAACAGCGGAGCGGTGTTATGAAGGCAGCCGGTTGACGAGACCATGTGCCCGACGGTTGACGAGACCCCTACCACGCGGTGGTTGGGGAAACAAACCGTCCGTAGATTCTGTACTGTTTTCGTGCCCTTAGTGGATCACCACGTAACAGCAGAATCGGCATTCCTCCAATCGCTCTTCCCCCACCCTTGATTTGTTCTCACAGAGCTACTCTCAACCCCCCACCCCCTCCTACCGCGTCTGCGTGGCCCCCCTTTCCCACAGGCTCTGGGCTTCACTTCCTGTGGTCGAAGAACCTCGTCCACCGGGATCTCAAGCCCCAAAACCTGCTGCTCTCGGGACCCGGCCTAGACGCCACGTTAAAGATCGCCGACTTCGGCTTCGCCCGGCACTTGGCGCAGGCCTCCATGGCGGAGACCATCTGCGGATCCCCCCTCTACATGGTGAGTTGAGCTTGGCAGCCCGAGCCGAAGCAGAGCTGTTTTTTGCTTGCCGCGGAGTTGGCGTTTCGTGAATGCTTGCGCGGCAAGGCTGGAGCCGAGAGGTCTCGCGCGTAGTGTTTTATTCTTCATCCCCTGGCTTCTTCTTCTCCCGCCCATCACTTAGTTCAAGCAGAAGGGGACGGTCATGTTCAAGCGCGAACACGTGTTGGCAGGGCTGTTTTCATCGACGAGATGCACCCGCAGCGCGGGAGGTGTGTTTTGGTGTTGCGCACGGTGGTCGATTGCACGAGCAGGGGGGTGGCTTGTCTCTTCCCTTCTTCGGCTTGTGTCCCGGTTCCGTGTGCCCGACGTGACGCCGTGGAGGTCTCGGATGCTACCAGTGTGTGTTGCATCTGATCTCTTGTGTGTGAGGCGCCGGTGGTCTTTCCCAGGGGCCAGCGGGACGCGTTTTTGCGCGCGGTGCGGGACTGCTGTGATTGAAACCACCGCGCTGGTTATTGAAACCGCGTCGTTAGGTAGTTCCTTTCCTGTTGTTGTTCTCCCCCTGTGTGTTCCCAGGTAGTAGTCGACACGCAGTGCCATGTCAATTTGATTCGCAAGCTCTGGTGTGCAGGTGGTTCTCAGATATTTCCTGTACAAGAACCGGGCATTTTGTTTCTTCACGGGACTATTCTTGGTGTAGTATTCGATAGTGTTGCCGAGGCTACCCAACGAGACGGGCGGCCCGCTCGTTGCTGCCGAAGCACGACGCCCCCCGTACACACACACGTCGGCGCGCGCGTACGCGCCTTGTATGTTTAGCGCCCCCCACACAAACCTTCAGCCGGTCAATGGTCAAGCCGCGAAGGCATGCAAAACGTGAGCTCCCCCCCCTCGCCCCCCTTGTACCTTTGTCGAAACCACGGCGGCGCGCTGACTCTCGGTGCGGCAACTCTCTTATCTCATGATCTCTTCTCTCTTCTCTTCTCTTCTCTTCTCTTCTCTTCTCTTCTCTTCTCCTCTCCTCTCTTCTCTTCTCCTCTCTTCTTTGTGAAGGCCCCGGAAATTCTCCAGGGGCACAAGTACGGTGCAAAGGCGGACCTGTGGAGCGTAGGGGCGATCTTGTTCGAGATGTTGGCCGGCAAGCCGCCGTTTGGGGGCCAAAATCAGGTTGGTTCTCGCCCTATCTCGGCGCTCTCTCTTTTTGGGAGTTGCCCGTGGAGTTGCTTGATTTTTTTTGTGTGTTCCGATATAAGTAGTGGTCCGAGCGTGCGATCGCTCACGGAACTACCGTTGGCGTGGAAAAGGTTGCATTCACGACACGCAGAATGCGACGGTTTGTCTCGCTTGAAGCAGGCAACGTGCGGCTGTGTCTCCGCGCCGAAAACGCGAGGCATTTTTCGTGTGCGCGGAGATTTTGAAACGGCAAGCCGACAGCAGTAGAATGGCACAGAGCAACCAAGACGACGAGCAACCAGAGACATCAAGAAAGCCTCTGTATAGGGAAGGTGAAACCGATCCGTCACCGGGGCTGGTGCCAGGAAGGCAACTGGGCCATGAACGTCCTCTCTGCTGTATCGGAACTGCGCCGCGACCTAGTGTAATTTTTGCAAATCGCATCACTGCTGTTAGACTATCACGGTGTAAGGCATAAGTTTACTCAAAGTACGCCGAGTTGTGACCACGGGCTGGGGAAAACGGCACAAGTGCTGTGAACCCTGTTTTGAAGTGAAGACAAAAAAAAAAACTCCAGCCGGGGTCTCTCCCACTTACCCTGCAGTGACTTGACTTTAAACTGTCCCCTTCGACTAAGAGTATACGTGTATGTCGAACCGATATTTCTTTCCTTGGTTGCATGCAAACTTTCGAAAAACGAAACTCCAGATCCAGCTGCTGGCCAACATCCGTCGAGGCCCAAGCCCGCCGGCCCGGGACGGCTTCTACCCGCTGCCCGACGGCGTGCCGAGACCTGGCCGCTCCTGCAACGAGCTCCTGTGCCGCCTCCTGGTGCCCGACCCGCAGCAGCGCGCGTCGTTCAGGGAGTTCTTCAATAGCGACGTGTTGCGCTCTGCTTGTTCTTCGTCGTCGTCGTCGGCGGCGGCGGCGGCGGTGGCGGCGGATGGCAACGGCGCCACCGACGTAGCCTCGGGCCGCGGGGCGGCGGAAGTTGGTCGGAGGGAATCGTTCGCGACGGATCGGAAGGTTTCTGGGGGTGGTGGTGGTGGTGGCGGAAGCGCGCGGAATGTCGAGGGGGATGCCTTAGCGGCATCGGGAGCGGCGGCGGCGGCGGCGGCGGCCGCCTACTCCGCCGGAGCTCAGCAGCAGCAGCATCACCAGACCGTCGCGAGCCAGCCGCGAGGAGGGAGAGGAGTCCAATGGTCGCCGCCCGGAGCCCTGGGCGTGGTGGCGGGGTCGGGAAGAAATCGCGCGCAGCAGCAGCAGCAGCAGCAGCAGCAGCAGCAGCAGCAGCAGCAGCAGCAGCAGCAGCAGCAGCAGCAGCAGGACCAAGGGAATGCCCGCGCCGGGGGTGCCGGTGGTGGTGGTTGGTGGCCGCTTCAGGGGTGGCGTTGGGGCGGTGGGGGCGGCGGGAACGACGCCGGGGCCGGTGCGAGGGCCAGAGGCCCCCCGGACGAGGACGGGCGGTTCAAGCCACTGAGCCGTACGTTCAGCGAGCCCCCGGTCGTCGCGCAGCGCACTCGGCTCCAGACCCCTCCCTCGCGGGGCGCGGGCGGGAGGTCGTCGAGGGGCCCTTGGGCGGGACCCGCGCCGCAGCAGGGCACCCCGTCACGGCCGCCGCTGACGCCTCCCTCGCCGGCCAAGGGCTCGGGGTCGTTGTACTCCAGGCGCGGGTCGAGGGGAGGGGTGCGCGCCATACCTATCCGCCAAAAGCAGCAGCAGCAGCAGCAGCAGCAGCAGCAGAGTTCGTTCCTCCGTAGCGGTCGGGGGTACGATGACCGGGACCGTGATGACCAGGGGAATAACGAGGGTTGGTCTCCGCACGGGCACGGCGATGGTCGTTACGACGGCGGTGGCGGCGGCGGCGGGGGGGAAGCGCCGTACGAGCCGCAGCAGCGCCTGCGCTCGAACGGGCCCAACTCGGCGCCAGAGGTCTCCTACATGGGCTACGCGGCCTCGAGGGCGCGCGAGAGAGGGGCGGCGGCGGCGGCGGCCGCCGCCGCCGGCCTCCGCGGCGTGGCCTTCAGCTTGGTCGGCGACAGCCCTCCGCAGTCGGCGACCGTGTCGCCGCAAGGCTCGCAGCCGTCGCCCACTCCCCGGCGGGACAGCTTGGGGCCGCCTCCGAGGGGGGGGGACGACTCCCCCGGCCGTGGGCACTCGCGACCTTCATCCCTCGACCTCGGCGGGCGGGCGCCGGAGCCGACGCTCCGGGGGAACTCCCCCGGTGGTCAGGTGCTGGCGGTGGCGTCACAGGCGGTGGCAGGGGCGGCGGCTGCGCCGGAGAGGAGCTTCCAGGCGCTGAACGCTTCCCCTCCGGACGGGTACCCGCTACAGGTGGCCGCGATGGTGACCGCAGGGCGCCAGAGGATGTGGGGCGGAGCGGCGGGAGGGCTGGGCGTGGCGGAAGGTGGCGGGGTTAACGTCGGCGGCGATGGCGGCTTGGCGTACCAAGGGGACGCGGCCTCGGCGGCGGTCGGCGGGGGAGGGTCTAACAGGTCGGGGGTGATGGGCAGGTTGAGCGATGAGCCAGTGTCGCAACAGCAGCAGCAGCAGCATCAGGGTCAGCAGGATCGACGAGTCGACGATGGCTCCGGCGGCAGCGACGACTTCGTCCTGGTCGACGGCACCACTTCGATGGACTCGAACACCGCCGCCGCCCCCGCCGCCGGAGTCGGCGGGGGGCACGCGCACGCCGTGTACCGATTAGCGGGCGAAGGGGACGCTGGCTCGCTCGGCCCTCTACTCGTCATCGCAGGCGGAAGGTGGGCCTGGGGAGGAACTGGAAACATGGCGCTGGGCGTTCAGCAGCAGGGGCTGGGAGCGGCGGCCCCACGCTCTGCCGATGGGCCGGGAGCGGGGGACGGTCGGGGAGCAGGCGCGGGAGCGGCCGTGCCGTCGCTGTCCTTGGAGGGGGTCCTGCGGTGTCTACAGGTGGGGGGGGGGGGGTAGAAGCGG